TCCAGCAGATGGCTCCTTTTACTTTCTTCTCAGCACCCGTTATCCTCGGAGAGTACTTGTTCACGCATTGATTCATGGGCCTCAGCCCCACTCGCCCTAGGAGAATAAACGCCCATGAGGGTAGGGACCTTCCCTGTCGCGTTTATCTCTGGATCCCCAGCATGAGCACCATCCCGGGTACTGAGTAGGTCCTCAATAAACATTTGATGACTATTATTTGTTGAAGTTCTCAACACAGGTATTGGCACATAGTGAGTGCTTACTCAATGTTAACTCTCACCACCACCACCACCACTATCACCGTCATCATCCCCATCAGCACTGCTGCTATGGGTACAATTCCTAAACCTTTAACCCCAGGGGTCAGACTGGGCTCCACACAAAATAAGCATTTATTTAAAAGAGAGAAAAGAAAAAATGTCTGCCAGAGAGCCCAAGACCTAGACCTGGAGTGTGTCTCCGTTTCAAACATCACAGTGTTGCAAAGGTTGCCCAAAGGCTGTGGGCCCTCAGGGGGTCAAGAAGCTGGTAGAGAGCAAGGTCAGACAAGCCTGTAGGCAGTGTGGTGGTTTCCAGTTGTCCTGTCCTTTCTTCATTTGGTGTCTCCTCCTCTGCCCCATCACCCCCCACTCCCACCCCTACGCCCCTACCCTTGCAAATCGGTTTCCTTCTGCACAGAGTGGACACCACCTCTACTTAAGACCCCCTCTGTTCCTTGCTGTCTCCAAGTGTTTCCTACAGGAAAGCATGTGGTCAGAGGAAAGTTATTTGCTACCTAGAGCTCCCTCTGCTGATACACGGGGTGGATGGTTGGCTAGAAAACCTGCGGTTTCAGAAGCACAGCTGGGCGTCTGGCAGGGCATGTCGCCTACCTATGCCTATGGTTCGGTCAAAAGCTGTTTCCTTTTCTTGGGTGGAGTTGGGGGGGCGGGGTGCACTGATGCGTGCCCATGGCCCCGTGTCCTTTGGGGGTGTCTGGGGCTTTCAGCATCCCGCCTCCTCTAACCTCCTGTGCCCAGGAAACCTGGCGCTAGCTTGCGCTTTCAGAGAGAACCAGGGATTCCTAGCCATAGGAGGATGCTCTGTGCATAACGCTCCCCCTGACCCTCAGGAACAGGTGGCCGTGTTTATGAATTCTGTTTGATACAGAAGTGAAACCTTGGGGGGAGGTTTTTAATTTTTTAAGAGCAAAGTCAGGGTCAATTGGCAGAGTCTAGGTAAAAACAGGTTCTAATAAACCAAAAAGGAACAGACACATGATTAAGATATTTTTAAAAACCCACATATTTGACTGTGAAGTTTATTGAACTTTAGGAGAAGGCATGCCATGCTCTAGCTCTCCAGCCTCTTCCATCAGGACCACTTGAGGGAGGGGAGAGCAGGTTCTTTACAGACCAGCCTCCCAACATGACCAGGTTAACATTCCTTCAACTCTGCCACTGGCCAGTGCCAATGTTTCCTATGAAATCTATACCACCTCACATCCAATACCCTGATCCCCTGCTCCCGCCCTCCCCAGCCTTAGGACCTGGGTAGTATTCTTTGTCTTCACCTTTTATAGATTACAATATTGAGGCTCAATCATGTTAGCAACTTGCTTAAAATCACACCTAAAAAGTTCCTGAGATGCTGACGGAGTCTGCAAACGTGTCAGCACCACACTGTGATCCACTCCACCAGCTGGTGTTTATTCCACACCCAAAGTTTACTCAGTGCCCTGAACTTTGCCAAGGGCCAGAGAGCAGAGATTAATTGAGAAGAGAGATTAATTGCCCCTGGAGCCTTCTATAAAAATAAAGGATTAGATTTAGTGCTGCTTCCTCCAAGCAGCCTGCCCTGACTACCCTTCCCCCCTCTGATATATTTGGACATTCATCATTAACCCTGCTCTACTGTTATTAAGAAAACAGGTAATGCCTAACATTTATTGAACACTTACTATGTGCCAGTCCCTATAGAAGAAAATCTTTTAATTTTTTAATCCTTATAAGAAATCCTTATATAATTATCCCTGCTATAATCCCCCATTTTACAGATGATGAGGAAACAGGCCTAGAGATGGTAAATGAAGAAAAGACTCCCCTTTTCCTAATTTCCCTCAGAACCCTTGGCATAGAGCTGGGCACACCCAGGAGCGCAAGCGGACTAGCTGACTGGTTTACTCTCCCAGAACCTGAAGGTGATGATGATGGGGACTTAAAGGTGGGGGTGGGGAGGGAAGCCCACAACTCAGTTGGGACTTCCTTAGAGATCTGGCTCTCAGTTAAGGCAGGAGTAGGAACCATATTTAAAAAGAAAAATTCCTTAGGAATCTTCTTCATATCTATATTTCACTCGCCCTGCATGATGCCTGGTGCATAATAGGGTCCGATACATCTGTGTTGAATGACTGAATAAGCTTTAAAAATTCTAAAGAAACTCGCTGCTGTTGCTAAGGCGGCTGCTGCCGGAGACTCAGCAGTACTTGGGCCCTGTCTTCTACATCAGGCTCCAGAGCGATGCTTGAGGTGCTGTCTGTCTTGGGGCAGGAAGACCGTCTCGGTGACCCTGGGAGCTTGCCTTCCTGCTCTGCTATCTCAGGTGATTTTTAGCCTCACATAAGCTGTTATGGCATCCGCAACCTGCCCTGGAGCTTTTAAACCTCTTTCTCGCGTGGCTTTTTACGAGTTGAAATAAACAAACAACTCTCTCTCTCCAGGGACGTGGGGGCCCGGATCCTTAACCTTACTCCTTCAGCCCGTGGCCCCAAGGGAGCTGAACCAGAGCCAGAGCGTGGGCCCCAAAGGACTGTGGTTAATGTGTCGCGTGCAGGAAGCAGATAACATCATTGCTGCTTAGAGGAAAACTGCAGCCCAGACCTTGAAGCAAAAATGGGCCTGGGGGGGTGGGGGGGGTGGGGGGGGGGAGGAGTGCCCAGAGTCCCCAGCCTCTGCTGGGAAAGGGCAGCTCTGTGAGGATACTGAGGAAGAGTTCTGGGGCCATCTCATCCAGGCCCTCATTCGGCATTAAAGAACCTGAAGGCCTGGGAGGGACTGACTGGCCCAATGTTGTGTAGCACCAAGGTGGCTGCATGGAATAGATAATGGTGGCTCCCTCCCCTGCACCTGCCCTTCCTTCCCAGGAGATCCTGATTCGGGGAGCTGGCTTCTCCCTAGGGCCAGAGGCCATGTGTGGGGCCTTGGCCAGGCTGATCAGCACATTCTATCTTCCTGGCCGCAGTGCTTGGTTTAGGGGTGATCTATGACATAATGCTGGTTCAGTCAGAGGGAATCTCTGGGCCTTTGTGGGGGATGCTGGGAAATGGGAAAACTGCCCGCCTTCTCCTGGGCTAGAAATGAGTGAAGGATACCAGTAGTCTCAGCAACCGATGCCAGGCCCACACGAAGGGAGACCCTCAGGGTGAAGCAGACCCCACGCGAGGCAGCGAGGAGAGATGGGAAGAAAAGGAATCCCAGGCCACAGCTCTGAGTTGCCAGATCAAACCTCATTTTCTTGGTAGTCACCCGGCCCCACCCTCATGAAGCCACAGCGCTTCATACTCATCTCTAAAGTGACACCAGCCTCGCGGGGTTTTAATGACGGAGTCTTCCTCTGGCTCCTCCTCTAGACCCCAGCCTGGTGAAGGGGAGGCTCGGCCTTACTCACCTGTGGATGCCTGCACCTAACACAGTTGGATGCTCATGGACGCTTGTTGTGTGACCAAAATGATCTCTTTCCCCTCCCTGCCTCCTCCTCTGATGGATCCTCTTTATTCCTCCACTATCTGCTTTTTACAAATAAGGATGAGATTTAAAAGTACAGGGGACAAGATGCAGCACACTCACTTCGAGTCCCCAGTTCACAAACTGGGAATTTGACCTGCTATTTGTATTCTCCTAGTGTTAATTCCTGCCCCCCCACCCCCCAATCCTGTCTGTGTGTTCAGGGCTGCTGTATGTAGAAAGCCTTGGACGTGAGGACAAGGGAGGGAAAGACGGGAAGACTGAGTCAGAGAAGGCTGAGGATGAAACTTGAATCCTTTGGGATCCCCAGTCTAAACCCTCATTGACAGAGGAGGAAAGCTCAGGCCCAGGGAGGGGTTCTCCTGGCTCAAGGTCACCGGAATAGTCCAGCCCTAATGGAAAAGAACTCCACTTGCCATGGCAAGACCTGCTCCCCCACGAGCTGCGCTCTGCCCACCTGGAAGGCAGGCTTCTGGAGGCCTGGGAAGAAGGACCTGGTGGAAGGGTCAGGGACCAGACTTTGGGACTTGGAGCCTGTGAAGGTTGAGAAACTCCACGGGGTCTCCCTTTCCCCACGAAAGCACCTGCTTGCCAAACTGGGTTTAGAGTCTCTTGGCTTGTGCGTCCTTAGGGAGCAAAGAAGTGACTCAATGAAGCACTTTGGACATCGTTGGCTCTAGGGGGTGGGTGTGACTCAGAAGTCACTCACAGAGGCTCATCCACAGCCTCCTCCCTGCCCCTTCAAGCCCGGGACCCAAGGATCCTCTGCGTGAGACGCTCCCGTGGCTCTGACACTCCTGAACGTCCCTCACGTCTCCACCTGCCAAGCAGTCTGTGCGAAGACAGGATCGCGGACCTCAAACTCCAGGGCGGGCAGCCTGCTCGACTCCTCCGCCTCGTGCTTGCTTCCCACAGGGAAGGCAGGATCTCGGGGACCCCCAGATCTTCCCCGCCCGCCTCCCCTGGATTCTGAGCGGGCCCGCCCTCGCCCAAAGCTCCCTCGGGTTCTCTGCCCCCGCCCCGTTTTCTCCGCCGCGGGAACTGTTCCCCTTCTCCTACCTCACTCTCACTCCGGTCCTAGTGGGGGTCTGCCCTCTCTGTTTGCCCCCACCCCCTTCCTTTCCCTCCTTTCCCTCCCTCGCTCCGCCCCAGGCCCCGCCCCTCTCCACCCCGGTCCCCGACCCCCCGGCCGTCCGGTGGCCCGCCCCCCGCCCCTCCGGGAGAGGGTGTGGGAGGGGAGGCCCCGCGGGCTGGGCCCTCCTGTCCCTGCGCGCCGATCCCCGCGCGCGCGCCGGCGCCCCCTGCGCGGCCTCCCGCTCCCGCCTCCCGCCTCCCCTCCTCCTGGTGACGTCCGGGTCCCTGCCCGTCTGAAAACTCCGCGCCGCGGCGGTGGAGGCGGCGGCAGCGGCGGCGGCGGCGGCGGCGGAGGAGGAGCAGCGGCGAGCCGAGGCGGCGGCGGCGGCGGCGGCCCGAGCGGGAGCCCGAGCGGCGGCCGGCGGCCGCGGGAGGCACGGGGAGCGCGGGGGCGGCCCGGAGCCCTGGGGTCCCCGCGCCCCGCTCGCCCGCCGCGCTCCGAAGATGGTGGTGGCGCCGTGCGCCCGGAGGCTGGCCCGGCGGTCGCACTCGGCGCTGCTCGCGGCGCTCACCGTGCTGCTGCTGCAGACGCTGGTCGTGTGGAATTTCAGCAGCCTCGACTCCGGGGCCGGCGAGCGCCTCGGGGGCGCAGCGGCCGGCGGCGCCGAGCAGCCGCCCCCGGCCCCGGCCCCGCGCCGCGAACGCCGGGACCTGCCCGCCGAGCCGGCTGCAGCCCGAGGAGGAGGCGGTGGCGGCGGCCGCGGAGGACGGGGGCCCCCGGCGCGGGCGCGGGCAGGCGGCGCCGGAGAACCCCGGGCACAGCAGCTGGCCAGTCGGGGGGCGCTGCCCCCGCGGGCGCTGGTAAGATGCCCCTTCGCCTGGCGTCCGGGAGGAATCCCTGGCCCCACGCCCCCCACCCCTGGCGCCGTGGTCTCCAGACTGGGACTCCTCCAGCCGGCTGGCTCCCCATCCCTTTGGAAGGAGGGGTGGGGTGCCTGACCAGGCTTAGGGGCCAGGGGCTGCCCCATCCCGAGTCTGAGGACTGCCCCCTTGGGGTCTGGGGAAGTTATCTCCCGAGGAGGCGCTTTGGGGGTTACGGGCGCTGGCTGGGTGCCTGCTCCTCGTCACTCACTCTGGACGCTCCGACTTGCTCTGTGCATGTGGGTGTCGGTGCCTCGGACCCTGTCTGAGTGAGTGGATGGTGCCCGGGATCTTCAGCCGCTGCTCGCGGTGGCGTTCGCAGCATCTCCGGGTTTGGGGGAGCTGGGCGCAGACAACTCGGTGCCGCTTGCCGCCGCGTTTCTTTGCCCCGGCCTGAGAGGGGTCTGGGAACAGTGTCCCAAGTCGCCAGCCATGTCCCTGAATCAAGACTCAGTGAGGGGTGTCCAGCCTCACTTTGGGTCTTCCTCTCATCTGGGTGTCTGCTCTAACCTTGCCCTCTCCTTGTGCCCTCTCTTACTCTCCTCACCCCGCTGCCCAGTGTCAGGGCATGGCCCATCTCCTAGGTGGTGTCGCTGGCTCTCTGTCGCGCGTGGAGCTGGTTCCTGTCAGCGGCTGTGTCCCGCCCTGCCATCATGACTTGGGCTGCTCTGGGTTTTCTGTGCTCTCTGGGTGTGACAGTCTGGGCTCTGAAACCGCTCCTTCCGTAGGTCTGGAGCCATCTGGTTGCCTTGCTAGGTCCCCAGTGCCTCCAGGGGTGTCTTGCATACCTTCCGTGGACTGCTTTGCTGAGCCCACTGCCCTCGGAGCTCCAAGAACCGGAGGTCAGAGTCCCCAACTCTGGGCTAGTGTTTCAGTGCCGGTGGGTGTGTCTGTCTGAAGGCATCACCAGAGCTGTGTGTCTGTCTTTATCTTCATCACTGGCTACTTGGCTTGCGGGGCCTCTCCTAGCTCCTGGGGGTTATTAGATACCAGGGGATGGTTTCAGGATCCCTAGGCACTGAGCACATGTCTCTGTCATTTGCCACTTCGGGAGCCCTCACTGAAGGCTGCCTGCGGACCCAGTGTGAGGCTTGTTGATCTGCTAAACTTCTTTGAGTCTAGGCGACCCTCTTTGCCAGAGTTCAGCTCTTTGTGCCGCTGAGCTGAGGATGCGATGATGTCCTGTCACGCAGCGCTGGCTGGTCTGTGTGGGCAGCAGGGAGCCGTCATTCTCTCATTTTGGGGCTAGGAGAGTGGATGGAGATTCCTCATGGAGAACCAGAACATTCCCAATGTCCAGCAGCCTCTTATTTCCAGCAAAGGGAGCTCTCGGACTCTGCCTTTGAATCCAGGAGTGGGTAGTGATGTGTTTGGGCAGAAATTCTTTCTGGATTTAGGGCTCCACTGGGAGGTGGGCGGGAGGGGTTCAGGGTGTGCTCTGCTGATCCCATGTGGGAACAGGCAGCATGGGCATGGGGCTTCCTGTGTCCTTTGCGTCTGGGGTTCAGAACAACGTCTGGAGGTGCCTTTGGGTGCAAATACCCACCTGTTGAAACTCGCAGAGAGGAGGAAGGAGGTCCGACTGACATTTGAGTTCTCTACCCGTTTCCCCACTTGGCGCGTTCAGTTCAGTGTCCTGCTCTCTCACATCCCAGCGCAGCCGCAGAGAGGTTTGGGATGGGAAGGTGGGTGGGAGACTGCCAGTTTTCCTTTTTTAGTCCTTTGGAATGCCAGCAGCGAAGTTGCTTCGCTTTTCTGAAACTCTGCTTTGATCTGCAAGTTCAGTTACTGTCTCCCATCCCTATCTCCCAGTCTCAACTTCTTCACCTTCCGATATAGACATATATTACGTGTTTTATTCTGCGCCCCCCCCCCCTTTCTTCTTGGCTGTCTACCATACTGTTGCTAATTGTTGTGTCTCCTGGATTTGTATTTTATTTTATCTGCTTGCCTGTCTCTCCCTCTGCCCGCCCCCCCCCCCCCCAACCCCAACCTCATGCCCTGCTGGATCCTGAAATCAGTACAGACTTGTCGGATGGGGCCAGGGGTCTGTCCTCCTCTGGCTGTGTGCCGCCCCTCCCCCCCTCCCCCCAGCTCCTGCCCTTCCATGGAGCTCAAGGAGACCAGAAGGGGGCAGGCTGTTCCCAAAGTCTGGTGTCTCCTGAGCTTGGGTTGCAGGCTAGGAGAGGACCAGACCGTTTTTTTGCCTGCCACTGAGGCCCTTGCAACACGCGGTTTGTTTGCAGACCCTGCTGAGGCTGCTGGCATGATGCTTTGGAGCTGGATTCAGGAAAGGGACATAAAAAAAAAAAAGCCCTGTGATTTTCCAGATGGCTCTTGTAAAGCGCTGGTGAGGCACATGCTTGGGAGATGGTGCTTAATCTCTGCTCTGTTGAGGTCTGGGGTGGGATGGGCACTGGTGCTTCTTGCACGCAGACAGGATCTGGGCCCTGGTGGTGGCGGGGGGTATGTCCCAAAGAGCATCAGGCAGGCACTGAGCATAATAGAGCATTTTCTAAACCAGACCTTGCTGCTTCCTTCTGCCCACCGGCCCAGAGCTTTTGCACTCGTACCTTTTATGTTTGAGGAGCTGCACCCCCGTTGCGGGAGCTGGTTGTATTTCGGGTACATTTGAAGAAAAGAAGAGGAAACACCCGGTTTCTCCAGCGGACGGAGGCAGAAAGTGCTAGGATGGTGGCACCACGGGCATATCCCTAAAAGATTTGCAAACTTCCTCTTTCCTCTCAGCTGCTTTCAAAGCTCTTAAATACTAGAATGATTGGCTGGATTGTAGTTGTTCTGTGGCTGTGACGCTCAATTTTTTCACTGAGTCCCCAGTCAGCGGTGGATTTTACTGTCATTTTAGAATTTAAGAAACAGATGGGCTCACCTATACAGGGAGGGGACAGTGGGGAGACTTGTCAAAAAGATCAAACTACAGCTCTGCCTAGATTTGGAGAAAATGAAGGAGAATTGTGTGTGTGAATGTAAGGAAGGTTTATTTTTTCCCCCTTTGCCTCCAGTGAGCCTCTTGCAGTCCTCACGCTTATTGCTTGTGCCCTTAGATAAATTGCTACTCAGTAAGTTTCATGTAAGAAAACCTAATTTTTATGACCCTTGCACACACCCACACACACACACACACACACTTGAAGTAAAATGGTCTCTGTATTGCCTGACCCCTTGGAAATGTTGATTTTTTTCTGCAGAAAGTCCTCATACTTCACATTGCTCAGATAACTCGGGAGGTTTTCAGACACTGGCAGCGACTTTGAAAAATCGGTTCACTGTATGCAGAGCGCCTCTGGTTCTAACAGCCTCAGAGGCGTAGCTTTTCTTTCTATCCAAATGTTTTGAGACCACAGAGAACAGAGGGTATTTTATTGACGGGTTTTTTTTTCCCTTCACACTCTCAATGGAGTTTTATTTTGCTTGAGCAATGCATTACACTTTGTATACAGAAATATGCATCATCGAACAATATTTACCTTCCCACAAATGTTGCCATCTGCTTAATCACATACTAGAAAATGTTAAATAAAATAGATAAATAAAAGGAGAAATGATTATACACATAAGTATATATATGTTTTGTATATACAGGGTGTCCCCCCAAAAAGTATACAAACAATGTCTGTAGCTTCTATTAGATTTTGAAAGTGAAATATATTTTAATAAACACTGCCTTTATAATTATTCAAAGTGTGTATATAGTGTGTGTGTCTATATGTACAGATATAGACACACACACACATACACACACACACATACTCACACACAGGGTGGGGCAGAAGTGGATTTGCAGCTGTGAGTTTTCGAAACAGTTTATTCTTGTATCATTATTTATTCATTATTGTTTTATTTTCCATACGAACAACTGTAAGCCTACTTTTGCTTCGCCCGATATATACTTTCCTCCAGTCTCTCAGCATGTGAGACTTTCTCTCTAGTTTGTCAGTTAACAAAAGAAAATCTTCCAGAGGTTGAATGACAAAATGCCTGTTACTGTTTTCCAGAAAACAAAATACCCTTAAGGATTTCTCTGTAGTGAAGGTCTGCTTCCCGCTCAGAGCTGTGCGTGGTCAGGGGCCATAAATTCAGGTGCAGAAGGACTGACATGCTCAGTGCCAACATGACTGCCTGCCTGGGAGAAGGACCGCCGCCTCTCTGTCTTTTGGCTAATACTGCCCTACGACTGGTCGCTGATGACAGGCCTCTCCTTTGTTTGCCTTTGTATCTCCCCATTTTTACTCACCCTGGTCCCCGTCTATCAGAAACAAAGAGAATATACTTTCGGAAAAATAAAAAAAGAAAGCAATCACAAACTCAACCCCTGCAAAACCCAAGTTTAAAGGGAAGGGGTGTGAGCTTTTGTTCTTTAAAAAAGAAACTCATAGTATGTTTGAAAATAAGCATTTTTTTTTTTTCACAATTAGCATCCATTTTCCCATGGCAAGTAGGGTTTGAGAAACACCCACGGCAGTAGAAAGTATCCGTCTCCTGTGTGTTGATCCTTGGAGCAGGATGGAATGTGCTAGGGGGAGGACCAGTAACATTTATTGAGTGCCAGCTGTATGCCAGGCATCCTTTAGATATTTTGTGTACATTATGCTCACCCCTCCACCCCCAAAAAATACAGGCTGGAAGAAGGTGTTATCCAACTCAGAAACTAAGGACATTTGGCTAGAAATTGCTGGTCTTATGTTGTTGATTGTGTGGCAGGAATAATGAGGGCTTTGCAGATATTACCTCACTGTCTCAGTGACTATTCCCAGCTGTTGTTCCCATTTCACAGATGAAGAAACTGAGGCTCAGAGAGGGGAAGCAGCTTACAGTGCTGGGGAAGAGCAGGACTGGGCTCCAAACCCAGATCTGCCTCCATTCCAATTGATGGACAGATTTCTGAGCTCCTTGTCTGTGCAGTTCTTTGAAAAACCCTA